TTGAAGTTAAATTTTGCTTTATCTTTTACTTTAGAACAAACTTTTCAGCTGCAATTTATTACGAAGAGCTCCTAACGGACGGGTTAAACTTTCTCAGAACGTCGGAACCTTTAATCCATCTATAATAGTTTTCTTAGTATACTTAGTTTAAATATAGACATTTTGAATCGTGGGTGTTGTAGACTCTTGGGAAACGCTAGAAAGAGCTTTAAAGTTTTCAATAGAATCTTATAGGTGGCGGTAGGACCATCTCGTATATGCGGAATATTAAATACGTAATCCGGGACGCGAGAAACAGTGCAGGGACGCAGGATAGCTGGTATAACGATTGCTAATCAAGTTAATAGAATCAGGCGTTACTTTACGGAAAACCATTATATTAAAATTGGTAAAAATTACTTTGCCTACATCCGCTCAATAATATAAAACGATGTGTCTTACCTAGTTTGAAGAGCACCTCCCGCCCTCCCTCAATTGCGAGCACTATCCCCGTCACCACCAATCCTAGCAACACTACTCGCAACACCACTACAGTACTGTAACTTTTACCAACTTAAATGCTAATAGAGTTTTTATTACGTGGCATAGTAGTGTCTTTCAGACTGAATTTGGATCATGGAAACCAGTCTGTTACTGCGCAATACCAGGTGCACTCTTTATTTCCTTACTCTCATAATCGGACGGCAACTCATAATTCTCATAACTCGACTCTATCGTGGTAAAATACTTGGAGGACCAACAAATTTACGTGATTTCTAAGGCGCGGTGGTAAAATACTTCTAATTTCATGACTTCGGGCTGTTATTGAGAATTTATTGCCAGAAAATTCCAATAACAGACTCTTGCCTGATCTGGGATTTGAACACGTAATCGCATGTTTAGCAGTCACGTTTACGTCTAGTAGTTGCAGCTATATTAAAAGCTCGATCGAGCGCTTTTCCAGAATACTGGCGTAAAATAGCCTCAGACTACTAACATAAAATAGCGGTATAATGATGCTGTGTTTCGTAAGTCGAGCGACGAGAATCGGAGACCTTTTTTAACGAGTAGGAGACGGTAATGAGGCATTCGATCTCCTTACGTGGAATAACGCATTTGCAATATGATTCTTAATCAAAGGTAGATGTGTATGCTTGTTTGTCATCCTCCCGTGTATAAGCTGACTATTCCGTTCAAAGCCGTGATATTTCAAGAGAAAACAGCGCCCGTTATATTTTATAGTGACCAAACAACTCGAGTTCAATCACTACAAGCGCCACTAATATGGGTTATCACTATTTCCAGCACTCATTTATCACATCCATCCATCTATTATAGTCTATAAAAATCCACTGCTGAACACAGACTTCTGGGTTTTGCTCTAGTTACCACACTTAAGTTGGAAACCGTGGTTTTTTATTATTTTGAATGTTATCAGGAACGTCCTAGTTGCAAATGCTTAGTTGTTTAGTTAGCGTCTGTCGTCTCATAGGACGGGACGATAAGGAGTAGTGGATATTTGTACACATCAACTACAAGGTTAATAAGAATTTATCACGCAGTCGGCGTCAAAAACAAATGTCGTCAGGACATGTGAAGTCCAGCAATATGCACTCGAGCACCGCGGCGAACTCTTTCCTGCTCCATAGCTCCCCTAGATTGAGGAGGAATAATTAATAAATAGACAATAAATTTAATTTAAATTTAATAATTTATCATAACTCTCCAGAAACAGCTACGAGTAGGATGCCGTGTTTTGTTGCGTTTATGATCTGTTTCTGTTCCTGACTCTTGTTTTTGGGTTGGTTTCAAAATGTTGTCGCAACAGCGATTTTAGGTAATAAGGCCGCCATTTATTTATTTTCCTTCTTCATCAATAAATAAGCTTACTCAATTCTCTAAGGTCTTCTATTCAGTTTGCTATTATTTTAACTTTAAGGTTTTCACTTTGAGAAGTTTTATGTTGCTACGGTAATTTACAAAGTTTATTAATTGAAATGAAAGTTTTTATGTAAATTTAGATCTTTTATAAAGTTGCTCATAACTTTTCAAGATATTATTTTTTTTATAGGATAAGGATGACCAACGAGCACACAGTCCATCTGATGGTCTGTGGTTTTTTTTATAGGATAGGGTGACAAACCACGCACACAGTCCACCTGATGGTAAGTGGTTACTGTTTTTTTTTATAGGATAAGGGTGAAAAACGAGCACACAGTCCACCTGATGGTAAGTGGTTGCTGCGGCCCATAGACATCTACATCTATCCTCGTTTGCGAATCAAAATGCAGATGCATTGTCACCCGTGAGGACTAAGATGGAATGCCTCACTCCCAGTAAAAAGGGCCTCCGGCCACCTGCACTCACAAAGCGAAACGCAGAGGTAAACCTCTACTTCACGCTGGTATTCTGTGAGGTCGTGGTGCCACCCCGGTTCGAGCCGGCCCATCCGTGCGACAGCAAAAGCTGCCGCGTGGCTCTACCACTGTTAAAAACAGTGACCCATAGACATAGACATCTATCCTCAGTAAAGACTCAAGATTCAGATGCGTTGTCACCCGTGAGAACTAAGATGGAATGCCTCTTGTCCAGTAAAAAGGGTCTCCGGTTCTCTACATTAACCATACGAAACACAGCAGCGTTAAGCTGCTATTTCACGCTAGTATTCTGTGAGAGCGTGGTCCTTCCCCGGTCGAGCCGACCCATTCGTGCTACTACTATGCTATGTATTAATATTGCTGCAGCATGGCTCTACCACGTAATATTAAAAAAACTATCAGCTCGTGACCAATCGACAACTGTATAAGTAACCTCTCAAGTAGTTCAAACTTAAGTAGGTTATAGGTTGTCATAACGATATATCTAAAACTTACGTTAACCTCTTTTATTTAAAAGTCGCATGAAAAGTAAAATCACGATGTGCGATAGACCTAAGCAGATAAACATGCCGCGAATTAATCGTGTAACGTCAGAAGCAACAAATCCGGGCAATGCCGATACGAAACCGCTGACAACTGCTACTCGCGATCGCGGGAAAAATATTAGGTATTTGTTTTGCGTAAAAAAATTATAGATTTGCTGAGCGTACTTCGGATCGGAAGTGCATAAAGTCACTGTACTAAAGTGTAATAATATTACACTTCAATAGTTTAAGAAATTTGAAATCCAGTGTCAGTGAACATTTGTCTAAAGGTCACTCTTGGCAGGCGGATCGACGGTTGTCACAGACTTCTGAGCGAGAAAATATGACTTTCAACTTTGGTGACTGCAGTCTAAGAAGCCTCGCTATGTTTGGGTATTTCTGATGTCTGTCGGCAATTATGAGATCTTTAGTATTTTTTTTTATTTGGTAATTTGGTCTTTGGCAATTCCTATTGTCGTCTCTTACGTTACTCGCGGGACGATATAGGGGGACTTTCTTGCCTCTCAACTAAACACTATAATTTAATAAATAAATCGGCCCTGGGAGTGGCGGACGCTTCGTGCAGAAATATTCTGTATATACCGCAGTACTCCAGAACTTAAAAAGCGCAATTTAGGCTTCCGTACGTTTCTTTATGGCACGACTATAGCACCGCCACACATCTTATCAACTTTATACGTAAAAGAGCCACGCTGCAGCTATATTGAGTCTGCAGCGCTAGTAGGTCAGCTCAACAGAAGAAGGATTTATGCTCGCATATAGAATACCAGCGTAAAATAGCACAATAAGATTGCTCTGATTTTTACGGTTAGTGTAGAAATCCAAAGAACCTTTTCAATGGTATCTAAGACGTAAGTGGTAACACATCTACATTTTGAATTAAAATTGAGAATAGATCTAGATGTCTATGAGACACAGCATTCTCTTGCTATCAGATTGCCTGTGCGCTCGTTTGTCGTCGAAGCTGGGCAATAAAAAAGAGACTTGTTTCTTTTTTATTGCCCAGCTTTGACGGGGATTTTTTGAGGGTATTACCACCATATACCAACGACTGTAAGATCTTTTTGGCACATCCTATACTGACATTTAATGACAGTCAAGGGATCATTTGGAGTAATCTACCACCACACCATACTGTTAAATTTAGTAGGATCATATCACAACTCAATTTTTCAGGTTTGTCAGGTCTTTAAGTGTTACCTGTTGTAGTAGTAGTAGTAAGGGTATATAAAAGTACACACACAAGTGTAATAATAATCCTATATAATCAAATTTATTAATACAATAAAGAGAGTCTTGTATCATCATTCGTTTGTTTAACTCCTCTCCTAACATTCGCCCTACATGGCGACCCTGCCGAAGTAATTCGCGACGCGAATATGACACCCTTCGCCGTATTTGGAGTGGAACATTTTTTCTATGTGCAACTGATGAACTAAATCAAGCTATGGCGTTCTATCTTGAGCTGCGCGACTGTGTACACGTGTTTAACAAAAAGTTAACGAAAAATAACATCCAAGATGGGCGGTACACAGACTAAAGAAGATACCGTAATTGTGCAAAACGCAGTGGGAAGCAATAAGGCAGGAGTTGAACAATTACAATTTCACCTGACTACGAGTAATATTTTGCTGTCTATCATTGTGCTAGTACTTCTACTGGGGTCCCTGTATTGCTTCTATCGGACATATAGGCGATGTCATATAAAGTGGATTAACACAGAGATAAACAGAAATACCCTGAGAAGGTCTATTTTTCGGCAACCACAACCCTCCACAAATGTGGAAGAGGCAAGTCAACCAAGGGCGTATTATAAAGTATGACCGGCGCTGATCAGTGTTTAAAAGTGGAGTTTACGTGTATATAAAATGAGTAAAAAAGTGCGTGTCTATTAATAGTGAAAAAAAAAAGGGTAATGTGTTTATAAATCAACTACATAAATCTGGGACTCTAGTCTATATTACTGAACTTTATATTTTAAATTAAATCATGTATTCGTTGTACTGTCTTTAATCGTCATTTAACCGTATTATTATTACATTAAATATTTCGTAAAATTATGTATAGTATACTCTATTCTACGTATTGGTGGTAAGTTATGAATATTTCTTTAGAACAATTATATGAGAAATTAAAAGAAGTGAGAACATATTTAATTAAAATTGGACCGAGTAGACGTGAAGGAAAAGTTTTAAATACTAAACTTAAAGAGGCCAATGAAATATTTAGTGACTATTCTAAGTTGTTAATAAATTTTAATAGTAAAGTAAAAGAAGGTAAGATTAAATCTACTGATATTCCATCTTATCAAACTTATTGTAAGAATTTTGAATCATTATATCAGGATATTATAAAATTGTGTAAGCCCCAGTGTGTACAATCTGAAAATCCGAGCAATATGGATACTTTCGATTTGAAAACGGCTCTGACTTTATTACCTGTTATGTCAGATGACGAGACAAGTGTAAAACAATTAGTAGACAATATTCAGTATTATAATTCTTTGTTAACAAAACAGGAATGCAAAAATAATTTAATTAAATTCATATTAAAAAGTAGATTATCTCAATCTGCTAAATTACGTCTTCAAGACGATTACTCTAATGTTGAAGACTTGGTTAGTGACATGCAGAAAGAGTTGTTGCCAAGAAAAAGCGCAGCAGCAATTCAAAGTAAATTGCAAAAATTACGCCAAAATGATATGCCAATTGCTGATTACGGTAAACAAATAACAGAGTTATTTGTGGACCTTACGATATCGCAAGCCAACGGTAATACCGAATATTACAATATTTTGAAAACTGTTAATGAAAAACAAGCGATCAAGCAATTTTCCGATGGCTTACGAAATCGTCGAATCAGCACAATAATATCTGCTAGAAATTACAGCTCCCTCAAGGATGCCATTCAAGCAGCTCAAGATGAAGAGACTTCATCATCATCGGCCGCAGGAGAGGTGATGGGTATGTCCAGTAAGAAATTTTATTATTCTAGGAATTTTCATTATAACTCTAGGTACCCACGCGGCAACGGGCGTAATCGGCAAACATTTTCACAGCGAAGACACTACCATGGAAACTCGCAGCGATCGAGTTCATGGAACCACTCGAACTCACGTGGCCAAGGACAGCGAGGACGATATAATCGAGGTACGTTTCGTAATTATCGCAGAAATCAAGGGATAAAAAGAAATATAGTCAATATAATTAATGAAAACCAAAAATCAACTTCAGATGAACCCCAACTAGATAAGTTTTTTCGAGAATAAACAAAATCATTTAATTTTGGCTAGTAGTAATAGCAATTGTTTTATTCATTTACCAGTTTCATCATGCAATAAAACTTATTCTTTCTTAATCGACACGGGCGCATCTTTATCCGCCGTAACATATAAAAATGCTATCGAATTAAGTGTTTCATTACATAAAGAGAATGTAATTATAAACGGTCTAGGTGGCGAGGTGCAAACAATCGGATATGTTTATGTTCCATTAATGATTCATGGATCTGTTATTAATCACAAGTTCTTTGTTTTTAATTCGTTACCAATTTCATCGCATGGAATTCTAGGTAGAGACTTTTTGAATAGATTTGGAGCATGTTTAGATTTCGAGAAAAATATTTTATCTTTGAAGTTAGAGTCAGGCCACACTTGTTTCTTGCCTTTCACTAATAATTATAATATTAACGTATTGGAAATTCCCCCAAGAAGCGAATCCATACATTATATTCAAACTGATTTTCAAACCGATTGCATTATTTGTTCACAAGAATTACAAGATGGCGTTTATTTGGCTAGCTCGATAGTGACACCAATTAAGGGAAAAATACCAATAAAAATATTAAATGTTACCGAAAAATCAGTAACATTGTCAGGAATAAATCCTGCAATTCATGATCTTAACGATTATAATATTTGTAGTTTTGAGAAAAATGAGAATAATTCAGACCGAGTAAAACGATTATTTTCCTCATTAAAATTAAATGATTTAAATGACTTAGAAAGTCAAAGTATTCAAAATATTTGTGCAAAATATGCAGATGTTTTTTATTTAGAGGGCGATAAATTGACAACAACAGATATTTACACTCACAATATTTTTTTGAAATCAAACGTTAGTCCAGTGTTTTCGAAACGCTATAGGTTACCAATTAGTCAGAAAAAGGAAATTAATCGTCAAATTAGCAACATGCTTAAAGAAGGGATTATAGAACCTAGTAAAAGCGACTGGTCTAGCCCAATATTATTGGTGCCTAAAAAATTAGATGAATCGGGTAATAAAAAATGGCGATTGGTAGTGGATTACCGTAAATTAAATATCTGTATAGAGGACGATAAGTACCCCCTCCCTGATATTACAGAAATTTTAGAATCTTTGTCTGGAAGTGTCTATTTTACACATTTAGATTTATATCAAGGGTATTATAATGTTAATTTAGATAAAAGTTGTCGAAAATTTACTGCTTTCAATTCTGGTCAATACCAGATGACGAGAATGCCCATGGGATTAAAAACAAGTCCCAGTTCTTTCTCGCGAATGATGAATTTAGCAATGTCAGGACTAAATAATGAAAAATGCTTAATTTATTTAGATGACGTCATTGTTTTTGGTAGACAACTAGACCACCATAATAAAAACTTACAGGATGTTTTCGAAAGACTTCGTTCAGTAAACTTAAAATTGAACCCTTCAAAATGTACATTTCTTAAAAAACAGATTTTATATTTGGGACATTGTATATCTAACGAAGGGATTTTACCTGATCCTGAAAAAATAAATACAGTAAAAAACTATCCTTGTCCGCAGAATGCCGACGAAGTTAAAAGATTTGTGGCGTTCACAAATTATTATAGAAAGTTTATACCCAAGTTTGCTGAAATTGCGCAACCATTAAACCAACTTTGTAGGAAAAATACTAATTTTGTTTGGACTGAAAAATGTCAAAAGTCTTTTGAAACACTCAAAAAACGTATTATGTCCCCCCCAGTTTTAGATTACCCTGATTTTTCAAAAGAAAATTATTTCATTTTACAAACCGATGCATCTAATAAAGCAATTGGAGCAGTTCTGTCGAATAAAAATGGAAGACCTATAGCTTTTACTAGCAGATCTCTAAATAAGGCTGAATTAAACTATCCAGTTATAGAAAAAGAGTTGTTAGCGATAGTATGGGCCGTGAAACATTTCAGACCGTACCTGTATGGGCAATATTTTAAAATCAGGACTGACCATAAACCTCTAGTATACCTATTTGGCATGAGAGATCCATCGAGCAGGCTTATGAAGTTTCGGTTGGTATTAGAGGAATATAATTTTGACGTAGAGTATGTAAAGGGTTCAGATAATGCAGCTGCAGATGCGTTATCTAGAATCTGTTTGAGTTCCAAAGAGTTAAAAGAATTAAATGAGAACATCTTTAGTGTCATGACACGAGCAAAATGTCGAAAAATAAATAAACCAGGATCCTCCTCGTTGGACATAATACCCACAGACTTGAGGCCTGATCAACTGAAAGTCGTAAGTAATCATGTCAAACCAGCAGAATCAGTGGAGTTGCGTGTGGTTAATAAAGATGATTTGAAAACATTGAGAAAATTAAGAGTTATTAGTAAAGAAAATAATACATTTTGTTATGTTGAAAAGGAAAAGATAATTTATATTAAATATCTAAGTTCCGACTCACGAATGACGCGACGCGAGTTTGTGAGGGAATTAGATGATTTTTGTAAGTTAATAAATGTTAATGAAGTATATATAATAAAGAAGGATGGTAATAAGGAATTTATTAAAAAACTAGTTGAAGAAATCAAATCTATGAATGATAAGACCGGTCCACGTGTACATATAATAAATAATGTAAAAACGATATATAATAAGGATGACAGAAAGGTGATATTAAATGACTTCCATCTCCTACCTAGCAGTGGCCATGCAGGTATGAGAAGGATGGTCAACAATATAAAAAAGTATTATTATTGGCCTGGGTTAGATAAGGATGTAAAGAATTTTGTTAGGCGTTGTGACAAATGTCAGCGTCAGAAATTTTCGTTACCCGTAAGAGAGCCACTAGAAATAACAACGACAGCTAATACAGCGTTTGAAAAGATATATTTAGACTTAGTAGGTCCATTTGAAGTTAATAATAATAATTACTCTTATGCTTTAACGCTACAATGCGAACTCACTAAGTATGTCGAAGCATATCCCTTAATTTCTAAAAAAACCAACGAAGTAGCAAAGAGTTTGGTCACTAACTTTATTCTTAGGTATGGAGTACCGAAAGTAATAACTACGGACAGAGGGAAAGAGTTCACCGCATCATTATTCCAAGAGGTATGTAAATTGCTTCAAATAAAACAATTAAATTCGACTGCTTACCACCACCAATGACTAGGTGCGTTGGAAGTGTCACATAAAAATTTAAATGCTTTTCTTCGCATTCAAATTGATAATCACCCTGAAACATGGAGCGACTGGTTACCATTTTGGTCGTTTGCCTATAATACGACAGTTCATACAGAGACGAAATTCAGTCCTTATGAACTTGTCTTTGGTAAAAAATGTTCACTTCCTAGTAATTTGACAGTAGATTTAGAGCCACTTTATAACTACGATCATTATCCATGTGAGCTCAAATACAGGTTACAATTGTCACAAAGAGAGGCAAGAAATAATTTGATAAAGTCTAAAGAAAAGAGAAAAATTATATTTGATAAATATACCAAGCCTATAAAATACAATGTAAATGATTTAGTACTCTTAAAAAATGAGTCAGGTAATAAACTAAGTGATCTATACTCTGGTCCTTATAAAGTTGTTAAAGATGTAACACCAAACGTAGAAATAATTAAAAATGGTAAAAATGAATTAGTACATAAAAACCGCACGAAATTGTATATCCAATAATAAATAAAACATATTTTATATGCTGCATCTAAGTACATTTGTTGTTATTATTATTATTTCTGTCTGTAGATTACTTAATATTACGTAATTATAAATATTCTAAATTAAATAATCATAAAAAAAGAAAAAAAAATGTTCTTAAAATAAATACCTTATATATTATTTTATAATGTAACTGTTCCTAATATTTACGAAAATAAAATATTTTAATGTATCATCAAAAAAAAAATGTATCCTTGTATTGACACATTTTTTTTTCTTTTGGATGGAAGGTGTAGTAGTAGTAGTAAGGGTATATAAAAGTACACACACAAGTGTAATAATAATCCTATATAATCAAATTTATTAATACAATAAAGAGAGTCTTGTATCATCATTCGTTTGTTTAACTCCTCTCCTAACATTCGCCCTAGGACTGGTATGCTCGCGTTTGCAATACATTGTTGTGTTATTGTATTGTTACGAGCTTGGGGTTCGAGACAATTAAAAACTGCCGATTGAATTACCAAAATTGAGACTTTAATTACACAACACTAAATACAATCTAAAATCACACTAATAATAAAACACAGTTCGCCGTTATTTCGCTTCGAAGTATTCTCTTGTATCGCCAATTCAATACTACACCGGTCGTGGTCTATACCGGTCTTATATAGGGCCTCAGATATTTTCTAGAACCTTCTACTGTAGGGACATCTAGAATGTTCGCGTACATATCGGTCCCGAAATTTCTGGAAGGATCTCGACTCTCCTAGTTCTGCTACTCGACACTAGAGGGCGCTAGTGTAACTAGTGTTGCCATGTACAAAACATTAATAGTGGCGCGCAACACTTTCTTTTACTCGACACTAGAGGGCGCTAGTGTAACTAGTGTTGCCATGTACAAGACATTAATAGTGGCGCACAACACTGCCTCCTCCTAAGACATGCTCGTCCCGAGCATTATTGGCCCCATAATAACGCGCCAGTCGATTCACATTGATCCTTGTCACAATCCGGTACGGTCCGTCCCATTTAGCTTGAAGCTTAGGAGATTTCCCTTTGCTGCGAACTGGATTGTGTAACCACACTGGTGAACCTTCATCAAACCCCTTGTTGTTCATTTTGCGGTCATACCGTGTTTTCATCTTCTCAGACGTTTGCTGGCCCGTTTGTCTGACGTGCTCATAAATGTCATTCATTTTGTTCCGCAAGTCATTTGCATAATCGGTTATACTGCGTGGGGCATCAGGTGGTATTCCGGTGATCAGGTCTGCAGGCAGCCGTAATTCTCTCCCAAAGTTTGCGAAAGCTGGCGTCACTGATGTACTTTCGTGAACAGCGCTTCGATATGACAAAAACGGTTGTATGTGCCTGTCCC